TTTTTTGCATCCTAAATCTAGCCATTTGTGTCTCAGAGCAGTTCAGAACGCCAGCTTTTCACTGATAACTGGAATCATCTAGCACATAAATTCTGAACTTCTAAACCTAATCCTAAGGAGCTGACTGGATACACTCTAGGCAGTGCTGTGACTAATGTGATTCAAAACCAAGTAGGCAACACTTGACTTCTCAGGTGGGCATACCTTCCCAAGCTTGATCAAAGACTGCCTAATGCATTTGATTGGCATTGAATTCAGTACCAGTACAGGAGGCACAGCTGGTCTTATTCAAAAATATGACAGTACAAGGATAAATATAGTGTGTTCTAAATAATAGCTTAGCATTTATATCACTCATCCAAGAAATGGTCTGTCTTCAAATCTAAAGTTGCTGCTTCCCAACAGTCTTCTTAACTGCTAATCTGTCTGGTGTCACATCCTTCCTATCAAATCATCTGCATGACAGTTAACAGTTGGTTGCTATGGAGAGAATAAGCTGGAGAAAGAACCAGTGGTAACTCAGTGAGAGGAAGGCTGTCTTGGAAAGGGGGAAGAGGAGTTCTGGTTCCTTCTTCAGAGACAACTTCAGTGTTTGTTCTTAAATGAGCAGATGAACAAGTGGAAGAGCAGGATCCAAATGAACACCACTGCCTCCTTCACCCTGCTCAGACTTAGGGCTTGTGGCATGTAAATGTTCTGTACCTGAAGATATCTATAGCTGAAGTATTTATATATTTCTGATGGAGTTTCCATCTAGACCCACTTAGGTGATATTATAATCCTTTCTGTCATCATTGCCTATGATAGCAATAAGGTGTTTGTGAATACCAAATTTGTAACTCTATTCTGCAGCATTAGCACATGCTGTGACATCTTTCTGTTTATAATTGCATACATCCACATCTATCCACATACAGACTATTTTTTCTCTGTTGTATGAGTTATTTAATCACAGATATTCCTGGCCCAGGACAAGTTATGCTTTAATGCAGTTGCATTTTCTGCAGACTTTGTTATGAGTTTTCAGCCCAAGTGTGTGTTGTGTGTCCATCCCTGCCCTGTTCTGTATTAGGAGCTTCCAGAAGATGTGTTGCAAATCTAAGTCCCTGATTCTTCCTATAACATTCTATGCTTCATCTCTGTCTTGTCCTTGGTAGTTTCATTGATAGCTGATAGGGAGCAAGGGAAGGAAAGCAAGTTCCAGGCACCAGGTGTTTTCATGGAGCTTGCATCACTGTTGATGCCTATTTGTCACATTACTTCTAGTTGATTCTTTAATTATCTGCAAAATTAACTCTTGTTCTGAATAACACAATTTGTATTTGCATTTTGACTGGTTTTACTTTCATAGTGTTTGCATCTTAGAAGCCTAGACTCATAGTATGGGTTGGGTTGGAAGGGACCTTAAAGCTCATCTAGTTCCAACCCCCCTGCCATGGGAAGGGGTGCCCCAGGTTCCTCAGGGCCTCATCCATCCTGGTCTTTGACCTCTTTCAGGGATGGGGCAGCCACAGCTTCTCTAGGATGCATTTGGCCTTTTGGGCTGCAAGTGTACTCTCTTGGCTCATGTCGAGTTTTTAATCCCTAAGAACCCCCAAGTCCTTCTCTATGGGGCTGCCCTCAGTGACTTTTTCTCTCAGGCTGTACTCATGGCTGGGATTTCTCCGACCCATCATATAAGACCAGGTTAGTCAGGCACGATTTTCTCTTGGTGAAGCCATGCTGGCTGTCTCATATCACCTCCTTGTCTTGCATGTGCCTTAACATTGCTTCCGTGGGATCATGTGTACCCCCTTTTCAACCAAAAATGCCTGGAATCCAGTATTGAAGTAATCCTAGTTTGGCTGGTTTGTCAGTCAGGTTTTTGCCTCTCCATGCCCATTTTCTCTTGTGTTAGTACATTAAATTAATTAATAAGGTTTTATCTTCTTTCCCATAGTATATTAGACTCCTTTGCTTCATCTTTGCTTCCTTGGTGCTGTTGTTAATTATTATTTCCTATCCAACAGCTCTTTGTGAGCCATTGGCTCATAAAAGTGAGCAGATTTCTTTCCTTTTTCTGTAAGAAAATGCCTGTGCATTCTTCCTAGTGCATTTATCAGTCCTGAAAATAGCAAAACAACTGGTGTGCTATGAAGAGTTGCAAAAAATCCTCTGGTGAGTTCAGTTGGTCTTTCCAATGAAAAGAGGAATTGACTGAATATCAATAAGGAAAAATGAGAGCCAGACCAACTGCAGACACTGATATTATTTGACTCTACTCCTTAAGTGTTTATTTGTGATGAGACTTACTATAATGTAATTTAGACTAGAGGGACTCTTTCTAAAAGCACAAAAGAACTGTATTTGTTTTCCAGTCAGTGAGGCATGCAGCTAACTGTCCTTGGCAGCTCTGAAAAATCTGCAATTCCTTTAGGATGCCTGTGGTGCAATGTGAAGTACATGGAGCCAGAACAGGGGCATGGACAGTAGTCCTTGAAATGTCATATCTTAATATAGATCAGTTTTAATGCTAGGAATGCTGCAAAATTTGTACTATTGAAATTTAAAAAAAGGGAGAATTTGTGACTGAGCGTGGTTTGTGATGTGGAGCTTGCAGTTCTTTTCTGCCAGTCATTCCACAACTTTATGGTTGTAAAAGTTAAGATTGTTAATTGCTTCAATTTTTGGTATAGTTCCAGAGTTGAGACCACTGAAGAATCAGATGTTTTCAAAGGAGGTTGATAAGTCACTGCTTTCAAATGTTGTATGAAACACATTCAGTAGATTAAGTCATAGCATTCAAATTACTGATTTTTTATACTTTGTTTGAGGAGCCTAAGGTTCATACATTTCTTCTCTTTAATGGGGTTATGATGGCTATTCATTTATTTCCATGTGATTGGCCTTCTAGGCAATCATGTGGTATGATCTTAAGCCTTTAATCTCCAGTGCTTTAGGCTTTGCTGCAGCATGATTAAGCTAAAATTGTGTTTTGACAGATCTGTGTCTGGAGGAACCATAGGAGCAACTCTGGCTTCTAATTCTCTGGGAGTTGTGAACTTAATTGGTAGTGATGGAGTATCTTAGCTGGCTGATCAATTTTTACATTTCTCCCTTTTTACAGTACAGTCATGTTCCACTTTTCATGGGTTTGCCTCCAACAGTGATTGCTCCTTCCCCAAAGCAAGTGGTCTAATTTCTTAAGGCACATGAATAATGAGGATTCAACACGACAAGCAACAACCCTAGGGAGAGCACAGGAGCTATCAGTGATTTGCATCCTTTTGCTGTTTCTTCCCTAGCTACTCACTGTTAACTTCCTTATTTTCTAGTCGACAATAGTAGAAGTATTGCACTTGCATTGATCATGTTTCTCTAAGAATTATAGCTGTTAATAGTTGTGAATATTGTTAGTTATGTTATAATTATGTTATTTATGCAAATGTGGTGGCTTTGGTTCTATGATTCTTATTTTTTGTCTAGATTGCTCAGGCCTTGTTTTTTTCTGATGATATTCTAGGGAGGTAGAAAATGTTCCACAATACGTATTTTTTTATAATGTCTAGAAGCATAAAATCTTCTTGAAAACATTTTAGGAACCACTCAGAGAAGCTCTATTTAAAGCATTTAACAGCTGACCCCTGTCTTGAAAGGGGTTTAGCTTCTGTTTTCATTATCATGAATGAATAGCTAAATATGACTTTTGGTTGCAAATTTGCAAGGTTAAAACAGGACTGAATTGTAAAAAGTTGTCTTAAACTATTCTTGCAAGAGAGCAGTTTTACCTTGTGTGACTGCCTCATTATCAGCTGTGTGACTGCCTCGTTATCAGCCAGTGCCTTATTTTAAGCCACAGGATGGTGTAATACAAAGGCAGTGAGAGAACCTAAACGAGCTGAAAGGAGAATAGAATTATTTACTTTCATGTAATTGTTTTACAGGTTGAAAATTGGTGTCCTCGTTTACCTTGGAGAGCAAAAAATCCTAATGAAGAAACTGATCAAAAAGCAATGGTAAGAACAACCATGAGAAATAAGAACAAACTTCAGAAATAATTCAGTAATTGTGATTCGTGTGAAATATCATGGAATCCTGTGCCACATGAATGCTAATAAGACTGGAATTTACTGGTTTTAGTCCTCAGTTGCTCAAAGATGAAAGGAATCAGCCCTTAATGTATATATGTAGCTCATGTGTTTTCTGTAGTTGTTGATTCTGGTCTTGGTGGAAGATTTCCATTACAAGGATTTTTGTGTTTAAATTTATGAAATACAGGTACTGAGAAAAATTATAAATCTATAGACTGATCACCAGTGTTAAGCATGTGTGAAAATGTCCATTTTTATTATCCCATAAATCTGGGCCTTATTTATCAAACTGCCTTAATGGAAAAAGCTTATATCCATTTCAAGTTTGTAGTAACATTTTGATTACTCCTAATTTTTTCCCTTGGAAAACTACAGCACAGAGTTGTTTCTAAATTGTTGCAGCTTAATTATGTAGCACTTAGGTATTTTAAGGTAATTTAAGATAATTGCTGGGCTGTACATGAACGTTGCTTACATAATATAGGTATAGGCTGTCTCATTTTGTAAAACCAATTGTTCTGAGATCAGTCTAGCTGTAAAATGAGCATTTCCTTTAAAATTTATGCCCTAGTAATGTTTCTTCCTTTATGGTATAATAAGAGACTTCCTTGTGTTTGGAAGATTCATGATACACATGAATCTTCAGCCTACTGTTCTGTATTGTGTTTTAGACATACTTCAACCTCATTTTGAAGCACATGAACTAAACCAGATCTTACATTGCAGAAATAAATGCATTGTGAAACATTGCAAACATATTCTGGGCTACCAAGTACTACTAATAAAAATAACAGCAATTCATGTAGCTTAGAAGTGTCTGTTTAACAGTAATTTATGTAGCTTAAAAGTGTCTGTTTAAATATATCTTTACTATTTCAACTAAAATCTCAACCTGTGCGAAGAGTGCATCTTTTTTTTTTCTATTTCTCTTTTCTAAAGAGGAACATAAAGCACAGAGGTCACATTTGAGTGTTTTTGTCATTCTGGAAAGTACACTGAAAAATAAATAATGTTTGGGCTTTTTTTTTTTTTAAATGATTTGATTCAAGGCTGAAATTCGTATCAACTTTGATAATCTCTACAAAATGATGTCAAGACATGAGGAGTTCAGGTGGATGATGTTGCGCATCAGACGAATGGCTGATACCTGGATTGAAGCAATTAAATCACTTGCAGAAAAGCAAAATTTGGAGAAAAGAAAACGGAAAAAGGTAAATAACATTTTTCATTCCTGTTGCTTGCAGTCATAGAGGCTCTTTCAAGCTTCTTGTTCCAAATGTCGTTCCAGAGTGGACATACAAAATATGTCTAAAAGGCTCATGGTTATACTTGTGCCTCTTTTCAAGAAGTATTTGGCTGTTTGACATTGTGTTACCATGTGAGTTTGCTTTACAAATAGATTTACATGAGTCAGTCATGGAGGAAGTTTTCTGACCTCTTAATTTTGGATAAAACAGACTATGTAGAGGTTTCTAAGGGAGAAACTGGAAATTTACTGCTAGCAAATGACAATGGAGTGTTTCACATTGTAGTAATAAGCAAGAATGGTATGTCTTTATTGTCCAAAATTGAGGCTTTAACTGGTGTATTTCAGGTTTGGATTTGGGTGGACTTAAAGCTGACGACATCTTTGGATTGGGTCAGTTTAGACCTCCTGCAATGAGTTCAGTTTAAGAAATGTGAGATTCTTGAAGTGAAAAGGTCTATTCATTTGATTTATTTTTTTTTAATTACCTCAGCTAGTTAAGGTAATTAAAAAAGTTCTAAATACATCAACCTTCCCTTCCTGCCTGGTTCTTACAGGAGCCAGTCCTAAGTGGCATGGGGCCATGCATGGTCATGTTTCTACCCTCCTTTAACTCTGGCTGGCTGCAGCTCAGCTCCTTGCTTGAGATTCTTAGTCCTTGCATTCGTTACAAAATGAAATTATTTGGGTGGAAATAGTGGATTTTGTTTGTGGATTTTTTTGGCCATAGTTGGAATTTAATAGAAAGAAAAAAATGCTCTGAGGTACAGCAGTTGCATGTTAAATGTCGATAACTCAATAACATATGACTTTTCTTTCCAGATCCTTGTTCATTTGGGGCTTTTGACTAAAGAATCTGGATTCAAGATTGCAGAAAATGCGTTTAGCGGTGGCCCACTTGGTGAATTAGTCCAGTGGAGTGATTTAATTACATCTCTCTACTTACTGGGCCATGACATCAGGATTTCAGCTTCACTGGCAGAGCTCAAGGAGTAAGGAGATTACTTTCACTTTTGAAACTGGAATTAAAAGAAAAGAATTGTAAACTCTTGAAGCTTCTATTAACAGTATATAATTTCTTGAAGCATAAAATGAAAGTGATAATTCACTAAACAGACGATAAGATTATTTTCATGAGCTAAGTATATGTGCTGTGAAAAGGATAATGTGTTTTCATTGTCGCTTGAGGCTCCTGGGACTTCATAAATGAATGTTGTAAAATTCAAACTAAGCAGCTTAGTCTTTAACATTCCAGGTGCTTTAACCAGCTGCAATAGGAAATGTTACAGACTAGCCTAATTCTGTGTCCTCTTCTTCAGTTTCTGCTAGTCTTCACTCAGTATCTCATCTTAAAATAAAGGTTTAGATCCTATAAACACGTTACTTTTGATGTAGTTAATTGCTGATGTTAGGTCAAATTGCTACCTCATTCTTCCTCGTCCTCCTTTGTGTACTAGTTCAACATTAGATGTATAACATCTGTTTTAAGCTTGAGCACACACACGTTTTCTGTAGCTTTCATTCTTGAATAGCAAACATGACAGCATTGTTTTATAGAGAACTCTTACACTATAAAGCTGTCAGCAGAAGTCAGAAATTGCTTTAAATAATTTCAAAGCACACTGTTTTTAAACATTCCAGCCATATCGCTCTCTTGTTTAAACCAGACGAGGTTTTTAGTGAAAATTAGTGCTCTACTGAAGTACAAACATTTAGTTAATAAATGCTGAGCACCTCTAGCATTTCATTTGAGTGTTCTTATATGGTTCGTGATTTGGGAAAGGTAAGTGTAAAATGTCTTTGGAAAGGGGAATTATTAGGATAAATACCTTGAGTAGATGCTGTAATAGTATTTGGTAAATAATACTTTTCCATATTCGTCCTTTTTATGTTTAGGATTATGAAGAAGGTTGTAGGTAACAGATCTGGCTGCCCTACCCAGGGGGATAAAATTGTGGAACTCATTTACATTGATATTGTGGGACTCACTCAGTTTAAGAAAACCCTTGGTCCATCATGGGTTCATTACCAGTAAGTATAACACTCATTTGACCTCTAAGCTGCTTTGTTAAAGAGCTTTTGTTGATTAACACATGTCAAAATAGTGAGGTGATTCCATTCACATGAGCTTGAATTTATTTAAAAGTGAAAATGTGGTTTTCTGTTGGCTTTAAATCTTAGGAATAAAGAGGCTATTGCCTGTTTGTTGCATGCCATCGATATCGCCCCCAGCAAGCTTTAGATTCCTGTTCCGGGCATTTTTCATCTCAATTAATTGTATTATCTTCCTGAGTCATCATCTTTACCTGTGTTTCCCTCCTTTCTTTACTTCCCCCTCCTTTTTTGAGTAGATGAGCTGAGAGATTATTGGATTTGTTGTTTAGTTGGAATAACAAAGGCATGTTTTGCTCCTTGGTGTTTCTGTAACCATACTGGATCAATGATCATGGAGATACATCTATTGTAATTGTGTTGCCAAATAACCACAGTGCAATTTGTTCTGTTCCATCCCTTAAGACACTGGGCAGAGAGTTGTCTTCGGGGGCAGGTCTGAAGAATAATCTGCAGTTATTGTTTCTTCTGTAATCTATAAACATCTTTCCATTAGAAATGGAAGATGAGGGTTGCAAGAAATTACTTTGTACAGCCTTCTTAGCATCTGCAGTCTTAGAACCTCATTTCTTTTTGTCAATAACTTTAAATCAGCGTCTCCCATGTGTTGCATGAATGCATATCAGCGTGAAATAAAACCAAATCTAAATTACTGACTTTGATTTTTCTATACCTAATCGAGTTAGTTGTGTTTCATGATCCATAACGTCCAGTAAATCTACTTGAAGGAAGGTGTTGAAAGGTGTTCACGACAGACAGAAAACCTCTTTTCTTTCAACCTGAGGATTTTCTAGAGCATTGGATCTTGCCAGTGTAATTATAAATGAGAGTACTGTGATCAACATTGAAGATTAGATTACTCTTAATCTCTCTTTTGAAGCAAGGGAGTAAACGGATATTCTAGTTTTTAGGAGCCTGCTAATAGAGCTAATCCCATTTTCCACTGAGCTACAGTTGGTTGTCTGTCTGCCAGATGTAATTGTCACTAGGCAATCACATCCAGTACTGTGGTCAGGATATGAAAGCTTGCTTATAAATTTTAAATGTTTCTTCCTGTTCGCTTTCAGTTTCTTATTTGGTATATTCTGTAACGAAGATATAGAAATACACCATGATATTGAGATTATTAGATTAGCTATTAGCCTTGCTGAAAAGTAGGTGGGTTGCATTTGTCCTTTGTAAGAGATTTTTGCCTAACCTTTTACTGAAGGCTGCAAAAGGTGCCCCAGCATATTGTTTTGTGTATAGTTAGGTTTTTCTTGAAAGTGTTTGGCTTGGCCTGGCTCCTTGCAAACTGCCCAGTGCTGCTTATTCCAGTATGGATCTGGGGAATAAATTGTTCCTTCTCTCTGCCAGCCTCTAGGATGTCTTATATACTGCTTCTCCTTCAGTTGGCTTTTTAAAAAAAGAAATTTAGGGGTTTGAGTCATTCCTTAACGATTCAGGTTTTTTGCACCTTTCATCAAACTTGTTGCATTTGTTGTGAATCTCTAATCACTTGATACCTTTTCTCAAGTTTGGTCTACAAAACAGAGTCCAGAGTCTAGCAGAGCTGACAGAATCGATCAGAGCAGGAGAATTAATTCAAAGCTTTGTGTGTGCTGTCTCCTATTTCAGGAGCCTCTTGCAGTCATTTTTTTTTTCCCCTCACATCATGAGTTACCTCATAAATTTTGTCAGCAAAATATTTTTACAGTTGAAACTACTAAGTGGGGTATAAAAACATAATTACATGGGTTTGTTTAATTAATCCCGGTAAAATAAGCATTGTCACAAATACAGCTGCTTTACAGCCCTTGTTCTTCACAAACTTTGCTTTCTCACTCACTTGTATTTAATGTCAGTAGGAATAATTCTTTGTCCTGAAAGAAGTATTTTTCAGCAGACATGTGCAGATCAGCCCAGTCTGGTTTTTGCAGACCAGACTCAAATATAAATGAATTAAAACTTATTCCCTTCAGATCAGAATAGAGTAGTCGAATAAGCCTCTGCCTTCAGCACAGTCTCTTGGTAAGGGTGCTGTATATGATCTTTCTGGGTGAACTTGAGCCCTGAGGAAATTTTTTGATAATTGCAAATCAGGTTTCTGGAACTGCTGGCTTGAAAGAATGACCCTGCTGCTTTGGGGACTCTTCCTGAACAGCTGAAATGCTGTTTTGTACAGCTGAGATCTCTAGCACCAGTGACTCCTGGTAGCACATGCTTTCTCTGAGGTATAATTGGTGCTGTGAATAGGATGAATGTAGCAAAACAGATCTCATTTTTGAGTGCACCGTATTTTCAAGCAGAAGAATATGTGGACACTCTGGATTTTTCAGTCCTAAAGTCTGGGGATTTGAATGCAGTTTATGTGCAATGAAGCAACATAAAAATTAGTAGCTTAATATAGTTTGAGAAGTGCAGCTCATTGCCTTTCTTAGCACGCACATCCTCCATACAGCACATAAGAATATGGTATTTTTTCATTTTCCTACAGTCTCTCTCACAGTGACTCATTCCCATATGCCAAAAATGCAACTGACTTTTTTCTTGTAATAAATTAACATGACAGCTATCCTGAAAAATGAGCAACGCTTCTGCTGCTTGCATCTCTGGATGTAAGATGTTCTCTAGAATACATCTGTTTTAGGAGTGTGATTTTCTAACTAAGTTTTCACATGTTAAATGCAAGTATCGAGTGGCCTGAGAGTTAATATGTGTCTGCAAGGATTTCCATAGGCAGGTAGGAGCTGCTTGTGGTCTGAGCAGGCTGGACATAAGCCAGGACAGACTGAAGGCCATGTACTTGTATTGGCATGTTGCAGTGCCTGAGCTCAGGGCACCTACAGAGCTTCCAAACCTGAGCTGGATTTTGACCAGCCTGCCCCAGGAAGGTGTCTGCAGCCACTGGCACATCTGTACCCATTACTGAGCAGTTCATGCATGCAGCACAAGCACTAGTTGCTGGCAGTGTTGGGAGCTGCTGGACAGCACTGTTTGTTTAAACTGAGAGAAAAATTATAACCATGGGTGGGAGAAGGGTGTGAATAAATGTGTGCAAATACTTCCACTAGGACAGTCCAGTTATAGTTGTGCTTCTGTCCAATATTTATGGGAAAACGATCACTTTAAATAATCCTGGGTTATTTTGTCTGATTTCTCTTTTTAATAAGCCCTAAAATTATCACTTTTAATGTGTTAGACGAAAAAAGACCTTAATATGGATGTTTCTAAAGCAATTTGCTACCCACCAGTCCTCTTTTTAATTAGGCAGAGAATAGATTTATCAGTCTAACACCAATTTCAGGGCATGCTGTAATTCTCTGCAGCTTCACTGCTAAAGCTAGGTGACATTTTAGGAAAGGAGGGGGAACAGAGTGAAAAACAAGTTAAATGCATACCAAATTAGCATTTTCATTTAAAATATATCTCTGGGGTTTTTTTAAAAAATACTGTTTTGTCATTTTCAAAATTAATTATTTCACTTTAGATGCACTATGACATTGTATGCAGAAATAAAATATTTGAAGACATTCAATCCTTTAAGTGAAACAAATGGAGAATGTGGTGCTAGGGTAGATAGTTGAGCTGTTCCTACATATAATAAAAGATCAGTTCAGCATAACTGGCATTAATTACATTAGTTTCTAAATTTTAAGTCTTTACCAGGTCTTTTCTGCTGCATTTCAGGGATTAGTTTCACCACTTGAAGCTTTGATCTCTCAAGCCATTTCTGCACACACTTGCACTTTTTGCTCTGATCTGTTTTCTGGCTTACTTTGCATCTGAATAATGTAAATATTTTTTGGTTTCCCTGCTTTCTGCTTTAGCTTAGTTTCCGTTGCATCACATTTCCTGTCCTGCTTCGGAGACCTTGTGTATTGGACACAGTTCCACATATCCCCACGAACTATTAGTGCTACATATCTTACATCTGAATACAGGAGAAAGAGAGGAAACAAAGCTCTATGAGCAATGTAGTGCCTTACATATATAATGTGACAAACTCCAATAACGTTGCAGTTTTTCAGTACCTTTCTCCCATTCTTCATTCCCTGTACTCAAGTACCTGGCCCAAAGCTGTATATTTGAGAAGGATTTTGTTTAAAGACCTGCCAAGAAATAAAAGGGCTTTTATTACTGAATGATTCATCAGTGCAGAAGTTGTTTTGGTCCTGCTGGAGTATTTTGTATGATGCAGAGATAATTGCCACTGTTGTAAAATATTTTCATTGAGAACAGTTGACATAAAACACTCCACAGAAAGTGATCTGTCAGCTTTGTTGTTTGGTGAATCATAATGTGTTGTATATTTTGACTTTCCTTTTGCTTGAAAGATCTCTGTGAAGGTTTGAAAAAAAGCCTCATAATTTTGCTCAATTTATGCTTTGAAATACGAAGGTCACATTTTATGTGAGAGTTTAAAAGTTTCTGGTTTGGTTTTTTTCCTATTTCCCAAATTAATGAATACTTTTTAGAAAGGAGCTCCATGTAAGGAATATTTAGATGTATTTTGAGGGACTAAATTCTTTCATCTTTTAAAGCTGAAAAATGGTTGGACCTAAGTACTTTTACCTTTTGAGGACTAAATTCTTTCACATTTTAAAGCCAGAATAATGGTGCTTTACAGAACAGAATGTACATGGGCTTGGAAAATGTTGAAAACTGGGAAATACATCCATTTTTAATAGTAACTTTTGCAGCTGCCTTCCTTCTCAGCTTCCCATGAGGTTGTGTCTCTTCCTTAGCACACTCAAGCCCAGTGATACAATCTGCAGTGATAAGAGTTCATGTGTTTATAACACAATTGCACATGATGTAGGAACATGTCCTATATAATTCTGCCCTGAAATTTGGTTTGTAGAGGGCTGAAGAATGGCAGAGGCAGCACCACTGGAGCCAAGAATGCAGTTCATTTGCAGTGGAGCCAGTGATCAGTAGTTTGATGGCTCTGAAGTTCCTGTGCAAGCCATATCAAAGCTTTGGCAGCTGCAGTTTGGAAACAAAACTTCTAGAATCTCCGTGCTGTAACATGTGCTGTCATCTTCTACTGAGCCACCTTCTGCCTTTCATGTACTCTGGGCCCTTTTTGTTGGGAGGAGCTGCTCATAAATGAAGTAATTTTTTTCAATAAATTAATAAGAGTTTAAATGAAGGGTGAGTGTGATTCATCCCAGGCCCTTTGTAATCCAGTGCCAAGGTTTCTCTCTGTCGTACGCTGGTTGTTGCAGGCATTTGATTTTTATATTGTTTCCTCAAAAATCTGTGACAAAATGTTTCATAAACAAATAAATGGTCTCTCTGACTTCAAGAGTTCAGCAAATTAAACTGCCTTCAGTGCTTCTCCAGAAGATCTAATTGACCCAAAAGTCAGAACTTGGAGACTAAATACAGTTGTCTAAAGACAAAGTACTGTTCTGCTCAGATCTTCTTGGCGTGTGGCCCTTGGCTGCTGCATTTGATTTTGTGGTAATGGTTGAGAACTTCAGAAAATAGATGAAGAATTCTCTCTTCTTCTTCCTAAATTCTGCTTCAGAGCCCTAGGAAATGCAGGTGACCACTGTAGCATTCCCATAAAGCTCTGTATGTGAAAGCATAACTTTGTTCTGTAAGAACAAAGAAACCCAAAATAAGCTCCAGGGTTGTTATTTGACTGATATATCCTCGAATTTGCTGTTGGTATTGTCTTTGTGCATGTAATGTGAACAGAAATGTTTGAAATTAAAATGTGCCTTCAGTTTATAAGTCAGTTGCAAAGAAAGACAAAACACCTCTTAATTATCATAACTCGGTATATACACACACATGTTTATGTATACATGTGTATGTGTACCTACAGTACATTGTGTCTCTTTTAGGTGTATGCTGAGAGTTCTGGATTCCTTTGGAACTGAACCAGAGTTTAACCATGCCCATTATGCCCAGTCTAAAGGCCACAAGACACCATGGGGAAAGTGGAACCTTAACCCACAGCAGTTTTATACAATGTTCCGTAAGTAAACTCAGTGGTTATAAAAAATTTAGACCTTTAAAAAGGAATTCTGTCATTTAGATTTTTTTATTATGAAAGACAAATTAATGGTTTAATAAAGGGCAACTGCTAAACGGGCAGAATTGTGTCAGTAAGTGTCTGTAGACTCTGCAAACTCTATTGTGCTTCCATCAGCAATTGGAAAATCAGAGTATCAACCTCATATAAATAGTGGAAGGGGAACTTTATTCTCTGGGTAGCTGTGGAAGGTGGTGCTTGGCTTTTCCCTCAAGTGTCAGTGAGTTTGTTTTTCTTGGTTTTTCCTTCTCTAATCTTATTCTGGAGCAATAGATTTTTGAGGAAGTTTTGCTAGATTACATTTTTATAAACTGTACTCTTGCCTTTTATCATGTAGAGCTGAAATTTGTCTTAGCTGCAGTGTTACATTTCTGCTTTTGTTCCTCAGCAGCTGAGCAGCACCATTCCTTTGCTGTTTCTTTGCATTCAGGGCTAATAAACAGTCAGCAAAAGTTTTTTGTCTCTACTTTTTCGTGGCTTTCTCAAAATTTTCACCTAGCTTGTCAATACTCATGTTGTGAGTGTTTATCCTGAGGTGAACTGATTAACATTTATTTGCCATCAGTGTACAAAGCTATTGAAAAACAAGTAGTAGATTTCAGCTTTGCTGTAGATCTTTTAAGCATTGATAAACATCTTTAAAAAACATTTTTTACAAAAATGAACAGCCAAACCTAAAAATTTAAACAGAACACACACAAAAAAACCATAAATTCTCTTTAAATTTGGCCAGATATGATTACTGTGACCTGCTTTAGACCTAGTCTTGACTTATGGCAGTAAGTTCTAGGATCAGTGGAACTTTGTCTTGCACATTGTAGCAGTAGCTAAGTGTGTTCCCTCTGAAAGGTGCAGAAGATCACTACTGCCAGGTAGCTAGAGGGTAAGTAAGGCTTAGGAAAGTGTCTGCAGCAACTGCTCAGCCCATGTTTGTAAGGAAACACTTGGTAGTGACCAGCTGACCTTCCCAGTTTGGTGCTGGTCCCTGTCTGAGACTAAGGCCAGGGCATGCACTGTGCTCTCTCCTCAGACTTCATAGTGAAGTCTTTCAAACTTTTCTGCTTTTCAAAGCAGAATTATACATGCTGCTGTCTGGTTGACACGCTTTTGATTTCAGTTGCCCTGTAAAATTCTTTGAGAGAGGCATATTTTGTCTGTCAACATTTGCTGTGCAAGTTTTTCCAGAGAAATATAAGCGAAGGTTGTTCAAGAGATAAAAAGCTGCATTCACAGTTGTTTGGGAGCAAGTAACAAAACATGTGGTGGTGAAATGTGACTTGGAAGTGGTTGCAGAGTTTGGGGCTGGGCATTAGTAAGCAGGGCTTGTTCCTTGTCCATGTTTGCTAATATTTATTGGTTTATGTCCTAAATGGAAAAATAACTCAATCATGCTTTGTTTAAGTAGTCCAGCTGTTGGGAAGTTTGTGTGTGAGGTCCTGTTCAAGATAGCACCAAGGGTGATGATGCACTTAAGGAAACTGCTTGCACAAATACTTGTGGTACAGCTGTGTGTGTGCACTGCTCAGTCCCACTCCATGGAATGCAGAAGAAAGTAAATCTCCTCTGTAGAGATCTCTGTTGTGGCAGTACAGACTGCTGTTACAGTCTCCTGTGCAGAGAAAATCACTTCATAATGAATTTTCCAAAGAGTGTGACTATATTGGAATTTTAATAAATAACCATTTCCAATTTTTACTACTGGAAATGACTGTGGGTTTTCCTTTGCAGGAAAAGTGGTAAATAGATTGCAGGCAAACTCATTCTGAAGCATGAGTGATTCCAGTGCTATAGATTATTGAAGAGTTTTGCCTGGTTTTGTACTAGGTGCAGATGAGTCAGTGTGTGTTGTGATATTCAGAGTTTGTATTTGTTGTTTGTTCTCTGCTGCAGAGATAGCACCATCGTTATGGGATTGTGATTAAAAGTGCATATTATGTTATGCATCAGTAAAGATTTTATGGCAGACTGGAACCCTGGACAGCTTCCCAAGATCCCCAGACTCTATTATGTTTTGAGAACTCTGATTATAAGGGCAGAAAATTATTACTGAGCAACAAGCAAGGCATATTCAAACCTGTGGCATATTACCAAGAGTTTGGCTGTTCTCTGAGTTTTCCAGAAGCATGAGAGCTTTTCCCCCTTTGGGTTTTTTTAAATTCAAATACTTTTATGCAAAATAACAGCACTGGTACTTTTAAAACTGAATGATCCTGCTTCAAAATCCATCTGAGTGCTTCCTGTTAGTGATGTTTGAGGCACTGGATTCCACCAGTTCTAAGTGCTAACTTTAACAAAGGTTGATTTTTCTTTGAGTGTGCCTCTCTTTTGAATGCAGTCTCTCATGCACAAATATGAAAGGATGGAAAAATGCCCCTTTTCAGGCATATTTGCAACGTGCCATTTGCTATACAAAATTCTAAAAAGTCCTTGGATCTAAGTGAGTTCTAAGCTGTTGCTGAGGCTTTTTTTGTGAAAAACAGTAATGGTCACTTGAAAGACTAAATGCAATGGCAGAGGGACATACACACTGTGTGTGGTTTCTCTGTCCTGCTGCATTATCCAGTTGGCTGATTTTTCAGGAACCAAAAAGCAAAACCTCATCATTGCAATAGAAATTATTATTTTCCTTAGTAACTGTACTAGAGGTTTAGCATTGCATGTAGCGTTAAGTGCCTGGGGTGTTGTCTTTGGGTTTGGTTTGCTTCTTTTGTTTAAGGTTCTTAAGCTTTTCCAAATGTGATTACTAATTGTCAGCTTGTGTGCCAGGATTTAAAAGGGAGGCTTTAGAGGAGATCCTACTGTTTATTGCAGACTTTTTCTATGTACACTTGTACACTATGACACTTAAAAAAACCCATGTGTTGGAGTAACTTTTATATAGTAGGGATGGATTTTTACCTGAAGCCTTGAATGCTGGAGTCCATCTCTGGAATTAACCACCCTGTCTACAAAAAAATCCAAACCAAAACAACAAAACTCCTTAGTGTTAATGAGCCTAAATGGCTGTGTCTTTATAAGAGAGCAGTGGCCAGTATTGCTGGATGTCAGTGCTGGAAAAAAACCAACAGAGGCTAAAAATATAGAAAACTATGAGTAAATTGCATATCCTTTGCCATGTAGCTTTTTGTCTGGACATTGGGCTGAGAAGGATTTTGCCAACCTCACTTGCCACCTTTCAGTATTTTACAATCACTGTGTCTGAGTGAATTTGGCAATGAAGTTTGTGTTCTGATTTGCATAGTGTGACTTTGTAGACTAGTAATTAGCATGGATACATAATACACAGTGAGTTGAATGGGTGGTGTTAGCTCTCCCGGTATAGGAGGTGAACCCAAGAAATACACTAAAATTTATTTATGCCATGAAGCAACATACAGCTTTGATAGCAAGCATAAATTCAGGTGGTTTTTAAACTGTTGGTATTGAATCTCTGCGATTGTCAAGCTGGATTTCTTCTGTTTCGTTTATCTCTAATAATAAAATCTAGCTTAGCGCACACAAAAAAAATCATTATCATTGGACTCGGCCCAGCTACAGAATTTTTATTGTCAGAAATGAGCCAGAAAATAGCTGCTTACTTCAGTAGGCATATGCAGCAGGACTTAAAATTAATAAGAGCTGGTTTTGATAATAAAGCAAGCAAATGTATCTTTCAGTTTTAATACGAAGGAAATGATCTGTTGAATAATATGTTACTTATAACTTCTTTCCTGACAACATTCACTCTCCTGTAACGTTAACTGATGCTTTCAAAGAGATTGAATATGCTCTGTTTCTTACAGCTCACACTCCAGATAACAGCTTCCTTGGATTTGTGGTAGAGCAGCATCTGAATTCCAGTGACATTAAGCACATTAATGACATCAAAAGGCAAAATCAATCTCTCGTTTATGGCAAAGTAGATAATTTCTGGAAGGTGAGTTTTCTACACTCATGTGCTCAAATAGATTAATTTTGATCCGTATAATAAAGCATAACTATAAATTTCAAAGTTATCCCTTCTTGTTAAACTCATTAGGCTCTTTCTCTGAATATAAACATATTTAAATAATTGAATTGAACATTCTGAAGTGTTTCTGATAGGGAAACTTTGTCTAGATTGATGTGGATCCTTTGCTATTTATGTACACCTGACAGAATAAAAAATATAGTCTTGATATCACAATAATTTTGGAAATTGCAGAAGCTGTTAAACATAATGGGAAATTTCAGGTGTCAGAGTCTTTGTAAACTTTAATCAATGATAAGTAAATGTGTCTTTCAATTACTTCTCTTCTTACATCTTCAACCAAAAATGTGCTGCATTTTGAGCTGGAAATTGTGTTTCACTAGAGACCCTGGAATTGTGCAATCTCATTTTCTCTCTTTGTAATAGTATCAGAGTTTCGTTTCCTTAATATTGCCATTAGTGTATTGTCTCCCATCTGCAGGTGAGAGCAGCAGAATAACACCACTGAGGTTTGGTCATATTGTCACCAGGTTATAATATATCGTGTTGTTAAGTCACAGTGGTTTGGTTTTTTGTTTGGTTTTTTTTTTGGTCCCCTGTCCTTTTCTAGAGCTCCTTCTTCCAAGCTAACACACCTGGGAATGTTTCTCTCAAGCAGTTTTCAAAGAAGGGATTGCTTACTAGTACCTGGATTTCTTCCAAGTTTCCTCTAGCTGTGTCTGCCCATATGTTCTGTGTGCCTATATATTCTGTGTGCCTTCTCTCCTGCCTGAAAAGACTTTATTTTAAGCCTCTTGTCAACTGAAAAAGCAGCTGATCAGGACATGTACCATACATAGGACCAAGCAATATGACACTGAGAGAACACCCATGTCTTTTCCTTTCCTTTTCTCTTCATTGTCATGAGAATATTAGTCTTGTACAGTTTTCTGAACCACAGAAGCAACAACTAATATGATGTCTGAGATACACAGAATAAATTCTTGAAAAATGATGGCTACAAGTAAATGGTCCATTTTGGGTTTGAACAAAACAAAGCCAAAACTTAAGAGAAGTAGGAGAATGTTGCCAGTGGTAGCAAAAAAAACCTGGTAGAGCATGAATGCTTGTTGGCTGCTGTGCTGAGGAAGAGATGTAGTAAATACTGTGACAGTTATTCTATTTGGCTCATGGTCTAGAATGAGTTAGTATGTCCCTGTCTGCAGTCTCTTCTGGCTCCAGAATGCTGGAGCAGAGCTGGGATCCTTTCATTTGAGTCTTTTCTAGCCGAGGCTCTTGTATTTCTAGTTCCTGATCTCATTATCAGTCTCTCAGGAGCAGTTGCATGCAGTAATCATCTAAACTTTCTGACCTAATTTGTAGTGCATATCAGCAGAACAACCTGTTGAATACTAGTTGGATTTAAGAACAAGATAGTTGCCTAGTCACCAGGGTCTTTTCACTGACGTGTATATCTTGCTTGGTTTATTCAGTCTGCATGAATTCCAAACTATGTATTAATAGCTTGTATGCCCAAAGGGGAGATTAGTGATTGCCCAGTCTCAGATTCTGTGTGACACACAGGGTATTCATGGACTGATTAAGACAAAAACATGGCTTTTTGGAAAGGAACATCCAATCTTGATTTTTAAATAGCACATTATGGAAACCCACTGTTTCCTCTGGTAAAGTCCTCAAATAATTGCTTTCACCTTTAGGACTTTGCATTATTTCTGGTACAGATTTCCAGTCTTAGTAGCAGTTACAGACTTAGTCTACTGGACTGGTGATGTTTGTGTTTGTTTCGCTGTAGGAATATATAGGTTGAGGTCAAAGTAACCCATTATCATCTCATGAAAAGCCTCTACATGCTGAACCCCTGAGAGCTTTGTGCTCTCTAATCCTTAAGTGTTCTCACATGTCTGTTTTCTCTGAACCTTCTCAAGATTCTTCACATTCCTCTTGAAATGTGAAGTTAGCAAAGGGCACATGGGCAGCACCAAATCCAAAGGAAATACTCTATGCATTGTTAGGCAGATCCCCTTAGGAACTCGTGTTTAAGCAACTTCTCAGCCAAGACCCTTGTATCTTTGTTTAGAAGTGCTGCTTTTCAAGTCACTGCCTGTCTTGTTTTTTCCAAGATGTATGATTTATTATCTGGGCATATTAAAATGTGTACTGTACGCTCATAACATCAAGCACATTAAAACTGTAACTTGCAGATTGTAGCTGTAGTCATGCCCATATGCACTTGTATATAAAGTGCAAATCACTGCAGATAGACTTTGAATCAGTTGCAGTGTGGGTTGTCTTATCTGGAGTGATAAAATCCAATTCTTGTGATGAAGAGAAAGCCTGAACTAATCTTGTGTCTGTGTAATTTGCTTATTTCACGTTTCCTTCATTTTCCCTGTTCAGTGCTCTTTTCATCTGCCACCCTGGCGTGTACAGAACCAGACTAATCTATTTATCCTGCTCCTCTTCTAGATATTGAACATGGCCAATTAACAAGAAGTGTAATCTCCACAGAATACACATGTCACTGCTGGGTTTGATCAGTCATTAGAGAAGCACAGTGTGGAGGGGAGAACATTCCAGTCCCCACACTGCAATGCTTTTGGGGAATAGCAGTTGCAAATAAATTGTTTAATTTTCAACCAAGCAGCTTGAAGTTGAACTGAAGTATGCACAGAACCTTTTTGTCCTGGAGTTGGGACTGGTATAGCTAACTGGTGTCATGGATTTATATAGCCATGGACATGGGTTCTTTTCTGAGTCTGGCTAGACCTGAGCCCAGTGGCATTCATCCCATATTACAGTGGGCAAGTCTGTCTTGCTGGAGGTCAGGAAGGATGTGTGCTGTAGAGTGCAGGGTAAATCTTGTTTATTTCCCTCTAATAACTAAATCAGTCTTAAGTGGGTTGAGGATTACAAATAGGTTCCAAAGAATTTTGCCACATTTCTAATTTCTAAAACCCCTCGCTCACTGCTGCACCAGCAGGA